TCTGTGGTTCCTTCGCTTCAGAAACGTAGTTCAATCTAGTCACCCTAACCATTTTGCGACCATCCGTTTCCGGATTCGAACCCAGAAACCCTTTCGCCGCACCATTTTGTGGGTCTTCACTCCGGATTTTAAATTAGCAACTATTAGCGCCACCGATGATTGTACAATGAATGGATATATATTTTTTTACAACAAAACATTTTTTTAATAAACTACGGGTATTAAGCTACTGTTATGAAATAAGTACCTATTTAATATAATTCTAAAAATAATAAACAGCACACAGTCTCCATATGTCAAATTTTTAGAGTCCTAGAGCCAAGCTGCAGCTATATTAATAGTAAAGTTGTAGCACGAAGGGGTCAGCTCGACCGGAGAAGGGCCTAATATTGATGTGTTTCGTATGATGAGTTTAAAGAACCGGAGACCTTTTAGTGGAAAAGAGAAATTCTATCTTAGTCCTCACGGCTGACAAGGCATTTGCATTTTAATTCGCAAACGAAGATAGATGTCTATGGGACATAGCAACCATTTACCCTAAGGTGAACTGTGTCTTCGTTTTTAACCATTATTCTATATATAAAAAAATCTCTTAAAGTCCGCGGAAAATTGTTTTAAACAGTTTTATTAAAGTAGCAAAATAAAATTGATTTATACAATATATTAGGTAAATTGTGCACAGAGTTTTCGTAAAATATATTTATTCATATTATCGTATAAGTGCAAATTAGTTGTTTTAGAGATAGTTTAAGAGCAAAAAATTTCTTAACCTAGACGTGTTGAGAGTAATGCATAACTTCAACCGCTTCGCGGTATGAGGTATGCAATGTTTCAAAAAAAAAAAGGAAATGTGTACCTACATTATAAAAATATATGGAATCCGAACAAAAACAGTTTCGAAAAAATAATGCTGGAAAAGTAATAATAAAAAAATTGGTTGACCCCGCAGGCCATCCCTGGAACTTCCCGTTAATTTCAAATGCAAAGCGCATCAAATTTTACCAAATTATGTTACGAAATCTCGAAGTTATGTTAAAAAAAAAAAACTTTTTTTTTAATTCTTTCTCCTTCGGTATCTCACGAAAGTAATAAACCGATTTTTATTTTCCAAACGGCCACATTAAATTGGTCAGAATAGATTCTTGGGATCTCAAAACGTCGAGATCTGATGAAAACTCTATTTTCGAAAATCGTTGTGAAACCAATAACTTCCCTATTTTTGAAAATTTTCAATTTTTTTAGAGGGAAGTTAAAAATGGTGTACTTGGTGTGTATTATGGTTTTTTGATTTTATATTTTTTTGTAAAAATGTAATTATCAATTTTGTGACTATAATTAAAAGTGCACTTGGAGTGATGTTTTACAGTGAAACAATTTTTTTCGCTTTTTATTTATTTAGTGTTTCTATCTTGTTTTATAAAATTTAAAAGTCAAAGCTGAAAACGAGCTCTTTGACTTTTTAAAATTTTAAAAAGAAAGAGAAGGGAACTTAAAATCCATACAAAAATGAGTCTAACCTTCTGCCCTTATTCTATTGTCCATGGACGACGTTTATTCGATTTTACTATGAATTTTTAAAGCATTTTACTTTCTTATTGAACTATCACACTTATATTAAGTAGTGAACAAGAAAATAAACAATAAAGAAAGTGTCTGTTTTTTGTAGCGAATTAAGGTATATATTCTTAATTAACCCTAGATTACTAACCTTATTTTACAACGCTTATTACTAACCTTCGTCGTTTCGGCTACGCCGTACAAAAGGGAGGCTTTTAAAGATTTATGGAATAAAATATTTATATGTGTTTTTCTTATTTATTACACTAATCATTTGTTAACATGTTTATAAGTTTTTTATCTACTAAAATCACATTTTAATTACTTTGACACTCTTTTAATTCAGACCTGAGTTTTTACTCATTTGAACATAACATTTTTTTTAAATGCTTAATTCTTATGAACTAAAAGAAACAGACACTTAAAAAAAGTAATAAAATATTAAAATTAAGTAATAAAATCAACAAAAGAAAGAAACAGTTTAGAAAAAAAGTATTAATTAATACACTTGTGACAAATGTCAAGTTTATGTTCGCCACACAAGGATTTGTTGCGCTTGGTGCAACAATTCTTTGTCATTATTCGCTTTGCGGAGGGGCAAATTGCACAAATTTTTCTTTTTTTGGCAATAGTAAGACTAACTGTATCTTTTCTTTGATCAGTCTCATGTGTAGAAGTAGAACTACTGGTTCCTGGCATATTCAAAATCGCTGTTATATAGTCCCGCAGTCCCGTTTGAAGTGTCGGAATTTGTAATCTTTTTTTGCATGTGTGGCTCGACTAATTTTTGATGCTACTCCGCCCTTAGTTTGATTGTAAAACTCAACCATCGTGGGTTTTTTTGGTTAACTCATCAATTGTCCCTACCTTATCACAAGTTGACAGTAGGAATATTGCCTTTTGGGGCTTTATACTTGCCTGGATGTCTTCGGTTAAAGGTGGTTGTTCTATCACAGAAAAATTTCTTCCTTACCATCTGTTTCATAAGCCGGATCAGCCTCAAGGTGGTCTTCTATCTCACTCTTAGAGCAGTTTTCTTCGTCACTATTATCATCTAATAACAGCTGACTAATAGTATCTAAAATAAAAATATATTCAAATATAAAAATAATGTAAGTTCTTATTTTAATGTAGGCAAATTAAGTACAAAGTTTACAAAACACCGAAATAATTATAACACCAAAAAAAAATAATTAAAAATGACTTTGAAAGAATAACGTTAATACTAACCTTCGTCGATTCGACGATTCATGGTGGCTGGAATGGCGCACACAGGGCCCCTACACAAAAAACACACTCGTGTGTCGCGGGAGCCTTGGGTCAACTGAGATTAGCCGGAATCTGCAATGCTTACGACGACGCACTCAAAATTTATACCACTTTTTTTGAGTCCGCGTCGTCGTTTCGACGAAGGTTAGTGATCTAGGGTTAAATTAATGGCATGTGAGCATAGGCGCGACCATTCGTTTGTATTTAATAAAGTACATATTTAAGAGAAGTGGAAATATAACAAATCAAACATTTATTGAGGTAATAATAAATTATAGTTGAGGTAAGAGTTGACCCTGATAATTATTTTATTTTACCCTGAAGATAACTCTGGCGTGGAAGTTATATTACTATAGTTGCCACGCTAGAAGCAGTGCGTGTTACCAGTGATGGCCTAGGGATCCTTTACTGTAGGCCGTATGAGGAAACTCAAGATAAGCGAGCTATGGAGAGGGCTGTGGTCAGGATTTCTCTGCGTGGTAGAAGTTAAAACGAGGATATCAAACTAGAACCAGAGTAACCACCATAGCTTAATAGATTAGAGTAGTAAGCTGAAGTGGCAAAGGGCCGGCCATATAGCTCGAAGAACCCACCACCGATGGGGAAGAAAGTTTCTCGAAAGGCAGCCTCGTATCGCCAGGTGAAGTGTAGGGTGACTTCACTTGATGGAATGACGACCTGCTAAGAGATATGCAGCAATTTGATGGATGCAGGTGGCTCAGGACCGTGCTTTGTGGAATTCCTTGGTTTTTGGCCTTTATTCAGCAGTGGACTTGTGGAGGGCTGTAATGGTGATGATAATGAATGATAATGATCCTGTTCTGGATACTAGGGTAAAGTTATTAAAGTATTGTTTTGTCTTCAGTCCAAATTAGGTAATTTTTAAATTCAATCGGCCGTCTATAGGAGTTAGTTAAAATCATTAATTTCATTTCAAAAAGAAAGTGCATCTCACGTGGTCGAACATGTCTTGTCGTTGCAACAGCATTCCTAGTTTTGTGACTCCTAACTCCTTTCATATCTCTTCTTTGATTTTCCATTACAATGTTCCATTTGGAAACCTAGTATAGCGCACATTCTTTACAAGTTAATGTACTTTTATTTCATACATAATTAATAATGATGTACTGCTTATCAGTTGTTTAATGCTTAGTCGATCTAAGCCCTATGCGTGCGTATTTTAGTCGTATTTTAGCTTGCGTTTGTATGTTTCTTTGTTTAAAATGTTTGTATCAAATACATAGTTCTTTCTTTCTTGCTTATTTTTTTTTTATAAAATACTATGACAAACGAGCACACAGTCCACCTGATGGCAAGTGGTTGCTGCTGGCCTATAGACATCTACATGTATCCTCGATAACAAATCAAAATGCAGATGCGTTGTCACCCGTGATGACTAAGATAAGATGCCTCGTTTCCAGTAAAAAAGTCTCCGGTTCTCTACACTCACCGTACGAAACACAGTAGCATTAAGCTACTATTTCACGCTGGTATTCTGTGAGAGTGTGCTCCTTCCCCGATCGAGCCGAACCATTCGTGCTTTAAAAAAAACAAAGGAAAAATATTGAAAGCCTGTACACTTTAAAAATAATAAAGAGTGCTGTAAAATAAATCACAGCAGATTAAATAAGACTATTAAAGAAACCTATTCGTGCTACAACTATACTACTAATATAACTGCAGCATGGCTCTACCACGTATAAATTTTAGTTAAGTTTAGTTATAAAAACTTACATAAATTTTCTTCCTAAATAACTGTTTAAATGTAATCATGGCTAACCAAGAAACCATAGTTATCTTAGAATAACGTTATGAAAATCCTAACTATATCGATTTACGGGTTGTATGTATTGCCATAATTAATTAAACTTATAGCAACACTAGGAAATATTTCATAAAAAGAGATATTCGTTAAATAAAAATGAACATCAACTACTTACATGAGATCATAACTTTATGTAATTTCAGTAATATTAATTCTCACGCATTTAAAAAATAAACATTTATAAATAACGTCTTAACTAATAAAAATTGTCATCAATTTATTTTTTTGTGGAAATTCAGTAACATTAATTTAGTAACACAGTCATATTAAAAAAAATACTTTCAAATTAAATTTACTTTCGTAATAATTGGACAAACATGATATTATATCTACATTAATTTGAATCAAATTATATATTTAAGGTTGAAATTTTAAAATAATAGTCAGCGTTGTAGTCGTACCAATCCAAAACTCGTCTGTCATACCATATGTAACTGCCTTTAAGATTTTCAGGCGCATCCAATACAATATAAAGGGGGGTCTCAGCTGCTTCGTCGGCACTGTAAAATCCGACACCAAAAGTCATGTCAGTACGCACTAATCCAGGATGCATTGAATTTACGGATATGTTTCTGCTCTGTAGTTCCCTCTGTTGCACAATCGTTACAGCACTAAGAGCAACTTTTGCAACTCTGTATGCTGCAACCGTTCCATTATCAGCTATGTCCTCTTTCTTGAACGTTTCATTCTTACAACTTTCCAGAAACCAGTCAACAAATTCATTTATGTCGGTCAGTGTTAAATTCTTATTGGCTAATCGATCTATCCAATATATATTTTTTATATTGGAAAGGTGTCCACAGTCACTAGATATATTGAGGATTCGGCCGTTATTTCTTACCAAGGGATATATCAATTCCTGCATAGTTAAAATGCTCTTGTAGTTAATTTCCACAATTTCCTTATTTTCTTCATACGAATTATAGCATCCAGGCACTTTCACAATGGCGGCGTTGTTTATGAGAATATCTAATCCATCATATTTCTCCTTAATATGATCCCTAAACTTGATAATACTTTCTCTATTAGTTACATCGAGTTGATGATATTTTGGGTGTAGTCCTAATTTGTTCAACTCGGCAACTGCAGATCTTCCCCTTGATTCATCTCTTGACGTTAAATATACGATCCCTTTAAACCTCATGCACAACCCTTTGACAATACTTAAACCGATACCTTTATTAGAACCGGTAACAATTGCAACTTTAGTAGACATGTCTTTTTCTATCGAAATACAGTACTTAATTAAAATTGACAGAAGTGTTATTAGTTCCACGTTAAAGGTTATCTGTAACTACTGTTTTAATGATAACACTGTCCTCAAAATAAACTCCTTATCACGAATTAATTTATGTCTGTAACTATACATACACTGCTTTCCTTGATAAATTATCAATATTTTGCTGCTCAAATATTAGCATATTATGCTGTTTATGTTTATTTTTAATTAGCTACATATTAGTTTTATCAACTGGTACCTAGATGACCGAGCTCTGCTCGGTTTTTTAAAATTACATTTAGATACAAATTACATGAATAATATTTTTGATCTTATTGACATAATAGAAAAAAAACTGAACTGGTTATTTATATAAAAAATCATGAGTGCAATTAGTTTAATTAAAATTTTCGTATTTTAAAAAAAATATAAAAAAGGCTCGAAATAATAGATTTTCTCACAAAAGAAGGGAACTTGAAAAAAAAGGAAAAAAAGTCGGACCGAAGTGGGACGCGAACCAAGGCGTTACGATTTCACGAACGCTCGATATCCACTTGAGCTACTACGAAGATTAACGCAGTTTCAAAATATATACCTTCTTATATTGTTGCAGTTTTTCATTGCCTAAAAACACGGACAAAAACATTTTCTAAAAATAAATCCTAGCTAGAACGATATATTATCCCCGATACTCCCCTGATATATATATATATATATATATATATATATATATATATATATATATATATATAAAATATGCTCATACAAGTTTTTAAAAATTTTATAAAACAAGGTTCACACAAGAACACGCAGATGTTAACTAATACTGTCACTCATAGAAATCTACATCTATCTTTTTATTAAGAATCAAAATATAGACGCGTTGCGTTACTTCTTAGGATTAATTTGAAATATATCTTTACCTGTAACAAAATATCTGATTCTCTACTATTACCATACAAAATACAGCAGCATTTGGCAGCTATTTTACGCTGATATATTCTGAGAGCGTAGTTGTTCTCCGGTCGAGCCAACAAACGCGTGCTGCAGCCTTAATATATCAGCAACATTGCTCTACCACACAAATATGTAATTTTCATGGGAAGAACTTCAAAAAAATTAATAAAAGAAATAAGAATGATAATATTGTAAGGGTTAATTAAATAGAATTATTAATAATCGGTTATGTAAATTTAAATTAAATATACTTTTTGTGATATATTAGTAAACGCAAATTAAAAATTTAATTCAACAAATATTTTAAATACAAAATGGTTGCTGATTCTAAATCCGGAATGAAGGGCTACAAAATGGTGCGGCCACAGGGTCCCAGGTGTTATCCTGGGTTCGATTCCAGGAATAATGACCCCGACATACAAGTGGACTGTATATATATAGTTAGTTATAACCAAAACAAAATGGTGGATGTGGTACGTGGCGATTTTTGTACAATGCACTTGCGGAGACTCGATTTACTATATTTAGCTGGCAAGGCAGGAGCGTGAGCTGCTGTAGGAAGAAACAACAAATGAGAACAGCCTAAAATAGGAGCGGGCACTTACTTGGGCTTGGTTTTTTGACGGCCTCTTACTCAAGCCTCGAGGTTGATGGCACTGAGTTGCAACTGCGGTATAGCGCGACGACGAATTATTTGCACTAATGTACGACGATAAATGCTCTTGTGCCAGCGATCACTACAAAATTGTTCTCTTCTGTGGCTCAAGTGCCACAGGTGCTATCATATCAACGGTCGAACTTCAACTGCTCGGTGGTGGCGCACACCCACTACTCTGGTCAGGACCGGCGGCGTGTTTTCCCTTTCACTTTTGGCCAGCCGTTTCATCAGCTGAACAGAATGACGCCACCATGTCTACCCTCCTATTTGAGTGCCTGCGTAGGAAGGAATCAGAAGTGAAGAGAAAGGATATTGCCAGTTAATACAATCAATAAAATGTGAGTTTCGGCGCAAATAATTATGCAACAAAAAACACAGTTTAAGAAAGGGCATTGCCTACTCTTCATAGACATTTCGGCCATGGGTGCCCACATATAAAAGCATATAGATATGATAATATACAATTAAAAGAATGAAATGGTTAAGAAATTGGTTTAAAAAAAGTCGGGAATTTTAAGATATAAAAGTTTTTCTTTTCACAAATACAGTTTTTTAACAACTAATTTTACCTATGTTATCGCGTTTAATTTCTTTGATTTTTAATTCCCGACGTTTCGGGTGCTTCCCAATACACATGGTCGTCGGAGATTGAGGTGACTGGTGTATCGAAATCAGTGTTAACTTGGAGTAACTTCAGCTTTTTAATAACTATTTATGGTCCGATCTACGCAGAATGAACTTACTGTCTACTACTGAGACTTCATCTTGCGTGGTATGCTTGGGTTTAGTTTTAATTTTATTAATTACAGGGTCCAAAGCAGGTGGGAGTACCCAACTTCATTCTCTATTGAAATTAGAATGTTTGAATCTGGGTGCAATACATTACCGACTTCAGATTGCAACGAGGATGAACTAGATTATTCAGATGGTTCCCGTTCTGCAGTTGAATGTGATGCTGCTCTATCAAACCTTCGCCAACAATAATGACGATGGCAACTGAAATAATATTAAATACAAAAGTTAAAAAGTGAACTAAATAAAAAAGATTTGTTTCCTTTAAACTCAAATACATATAAAATATTTATCAAGTTAATTGTTACTGCACAAAAGCAGACTTAATGGCCTATATTATTTAATAATTAAGCACTTAAAAACTACCAGTAGTCCAAAAACAATAAAAAATCAATTGTCTCATTACTTGGTAGTTGGTAAAAACGGTAGCAGTCTATCTGGTGGTGACAAGCTAATCTTATCGCCATGTTATAAATAAGCTTGTATGTTTGTCAGATATAGTTTGTGTGGATGTAATCAGAGTAAAAACATGTATCACTATCAGATACGAGCACACACACTTAATAAATTAAAAAACACGTACCTCACGTGGTGCAATTTGATGGGCAATTTCATTCCTTATGAGTTCCTCACGTGGAGAATCAGACCCAAACAATGTGTGTGATCTTATTCTCAAAAGTGACTTGCCACAGCTGATACATACATGTCCATGACTAATAATTAGTGAATTTTCCTGTTCGCTAGTTGGATGTCGTATTTGATTCCAGACTGCAGTGTAACATGCGTGGCATACTACACTATCACTCGAAACTTGTACCTAATAAAGAAGCCATAATTATTATATCAATTGATATAATTATAAGACAACTCAGTTAATAAGCATTGCTTCAATTGTAGAATGAAGAAAAGGAAGGCATGACACAATCATGATTGTAACTATTTACCTGCTGTGGTCGAACCTATTCTTGTATAAGATTTCGCAGTTCTGGAATTGCCAACATATGCCTTCGTGTTTTCGCTATATTTAAACAATTTACAGAGCGAAAATATCCTCTTGAATGAGTTACCGAAGGCTGGGAAGAAGTCTGGCCGGCGTGGAAGCTGGGATCATTGTTGACAGTGGATATCGAGTCCAAGTTCGTGCAGGGGTTATTGAAGGAAGCGGGTGCGGGGTCCATGTTCAGGCCGTGATCAGTAGGGTGGGAAAAAATGTCAGAGTCCATTTATAAGGCTTGTTCGTTACTTCGATAACAAATTCACAAAAATAAAAACAAACAAAATAACACGCAAATAAATTCTACATGTGACTATTTATATAGGTATAGAAATAGTTGTGAACTGAATTGTGAATTGTGATTTCATTCTAATGACAGGGCCTAGCTTTCAGACTCGATGTTGCCACTTAACTGACATAAAATCGATGAAAAGATATCGATTTTTATTCGATTTATAATATCGTTAAAAAAACAATTTTTGAGGCGCTTTAAGTTCTGCACACTTTTTTAAAATATATTTTTAAAAAGTGTGCATTTTTCTTTATTTATTTAAACGCTATTTGAAATGTATTTTTAAGAACAGTTAAATTGTGCAGTAGCATTTTGTTAAGCTTTAACCTTTTGAGCGCCACGCCAAAAACGCATTACCGTGTCCTGTACGCCAAAGCGCCAAAACAAAATAGTGTTGCCAAGAGTTGATATATCGATAACGTAAAATAACTTGTTTTTTTTTTGGTTTTTTATGCTATAAATGACTCTTTATAAACTGTATGTTTTATTTAATCTTGTGCTGTCTTCCACTCTTTTTATATATGTACTTTGTACATATAAACATAAAAAAAACAAACATTAACAATAAAATTGTAGTAAACCACTACTCTCCATCCTAATGACGACACTGTCACGACTGGACGACAACGGCGTAGCTGACCTTCCTTTTTGAAACATTCTTCGAATGTTGTGTATCGATTTCAAAATCGATCTAACCGAAATATACAGACATCGATTCATAATATTTTATGTGTCGGGGAAGGCGTAGGCCAAGTTAAGCACAGAAGAAAAGTCTTACACTCTTATAACAATGGGGATTTGATATGATGCTGATGCTGCTAGATGATTTTGAGACTGAGAGAGAAAATGGCACAACTCAAAATGAAAAATTGCTCTTCACACCTTAAGTAAAAAAAAACATTAATTGTAATTTTGTATTATTATTAAAAAAAAGGTACATAATTATGCATTAATCAACAAATATATATATAATTATTCGCACTAGGTAAATCAGCCTTATAATATTAAAATCTTGGTCATGGAATAAATAAACATAATTGTTCACCAATCAATCAAAAATTCAATTCATCAATCAAAAATCAAAATTCATCATCATCGACGCTTTCCAAAATCCGAATGAGTTCTGAGGAATCGTTCATGTTGCATTGCTCTACTTTTCTCGGTAATCACTTATGACGTCATCAGGGTGTCGTCTATTCTTGATCACGGTGCCCAGTGAACTGATTTTCGATGACGCGCTAAAGATGCGCTAGAGTTGAGATATTAGATTTATTATGTGAAGATGATCTGGTAACATTTTTTTA